TGTGGTGCTGGGGGATTGAACCGCGGTCCCTGATGCTTTTGCTAAGCTTGTTCTAAGTAGGTGCTTTAGACCACTGAGCCATCTCTCCAGCCCCAAAGAGTCTCATTTGTGCTTGATCTTATTTTATTTTTTTGTATTTTAGGGAAGGGTCTACAGGGTGTTCAGGGTCTCACTACTAGATTAAGACTCAGAGTGATTCTCCTGTTTATAGCCTCCCAAGTTCTGGGATTACAGGCACGTGCTACCATGCCTAGTCTCCATTGCCATCTCAGCATGCCCCGGGGGTGGGGCTGGCTCGGCAGGCCCAGGCATTGAACCCCTGGCCCCTGTGCTTGCTTGCGGGTGCTTTAATCTGCTGAGCTATTTGGTCAGCCCTTTGTGCTTGATCTTAGCAGGCCCATCCAGGATGGGCTGTTGCTGAGTTCCTGGAGGACAATAACCCCAAGTGATTTCAGTTCACGAAGAGTTGGGCATCAGGCCCTGGGACGGGAACAGCAGTTGAGCCCTGTGTTTTGGCCTGCTGGCAGAGATGGCACTGCAGCACTATGGCTTCAAGGCAGGGGCCTCTCTTTCATCTTTTACTTTCTCCCCACCTTCCTCTGGATTTCTTTCTTTTTTCCTTCTTTCCTTCCTTTTTTTTTTTTTTTTTTTTTTGAGACAGAGTCTCACTCTATAGTATACATTTCAGGCTGACCTTGAACTCACTATATAGCCCAGCATGGCTCTGAACTTGTGGCAGTCCTCCTGCCTCAGCCTCCCAAGCGCTGGAGTTACAGGCATACGCCATCACACCCAGCCTGTTTTCAGAATTCTAATGACAACTACCACCACTTGGTTAGAAATCTAATCTGTCATTCCTGGGGTTTGTGCAATATTTTTGCACATGTGCTATTTTATTTCATCCTAAAACTCTAGATGGGCACGACTTGTAATCCTGGTTTCATGGACAATAGAGATGCTAGTTACATTGTCTGCGTTAGTTTTCAATATCGTCGTAGGTGGTGTGCCTAGAGCTGAGCTCAGGCAGTGAGGACTAGGCCTGCGAGTGCCTACGGGGTCTCCGTGAGTCCTCCTTTAGTGAAGTGCTCAGTGATTGTCATCCCTCCAGTAGATATCTCTTTCTAGAATGAGACCCCAGTTCTCAGGCACAGACAGTATCCAGGAAATACTAGAAAATGAGCTCCATTTCCCATGAAATTTGTCATTACTTTGTGGTTTGTACTGGGAATAAAACTCAAGAGCTTGCGCTTGCCAGTCAGGCACTTATGCTAAGCCATTGCCCTGGCCCTTCTCCAGGAAGTTGGCTGAGCCGGGGCAAGTACTTGCACCCACCTCTGGCTGTGAGTTCACTCAGGTTTCCTGGTCTGACAGTGGAGTTTTTCTGGGACCCAAAGAATGAGACCTGTGGAATGGGAACCCTCTGATTCCCCTAGACTGCAAGTGGATGTTGGCAGAGGTTCTGGAGAGTCTGCTCAGGAGTGCACAACACAGAGGAGACCTGGAAGGCCTGCCCTCAGCTGTTCCCTAGTTTATCACACACGTGTGTATATAGCTACAACTGTCTTCTTCAAATGCAAATAAAATCCCACTGGACATGAGCACTTGCATCGCGTGGGTTGTCCATCAGGGTCCTGCCCTTCCTACCCTGGTGGCTGGCTATTATGTTGATGACATTGGTCATTGTGCTCATTTGAATTCTCCTACCCAACACCAATGATGTCACTGGAATTGGGAGCTGTGTGGGGGTTGAGATTGTGGCTTATCTGGCTGCTGTGTCCGTACCATATGTTGCACAGCAAGCTTCATCAGTGCTTTAGCTTGGATGATGTGGGGAACTGACAGACCTAAGTGCTTTGCTGAGAATTTATTGGTAATCAGAATCTAAACGGGATCTGATGGTGGTTGCAGGGCCGGGAAGGTTGGTCATTCTTAAAATGATCTAGTTCTTGGATTAACTTTTCTAAACTACACCTATAGGAAATAAAATAAACAGACATAAAAATGTATTAAATAATAACATATGTGGCAGGAAAGAGCAATCCTAGTAAAACTAAACTTTAGTCTTCATATGTGCCCAGGCACAAACAGGATCTCAGGGGACAGACCCAGGTCTGAAATGTGCCAGGCCCAGCACGAAGCTCACTTCCTGTTAGCACAGGCTGCAGAGTAAAGCCCAAGGTGCAGGGAGCTCTGTGTGTGCTCACCTGGTCCTTACATTCAACCTCAGTGGCAGGACCCCTGAGGAGGAGGACAGGAGAAGAATAAAGGTACACAGCACCCTGCAGGAAATGTTTCGGGAAAGTATAGGGAACAGTTATTGTGGAGAAAGAAATCTGCCACATGCAATTAAGAATTCAGGTTGGGAAAAGGGAGTGAAGCTATTCAAAAGGAAGGACTTACTGAGTAGAGGAGGACAGGAGAGGGAGTAGGGGCGGGGAAGATATATCTATGTATGTAAGCATGGTGGTTTGGACAACTGTACTGTGCATTTCTGCTGGTCTATGAAAAGGAAGAGCTGGTGCTTAATTTGTTTTGTGTGCCATTTTCAATTCTTTTACCTCAATTCTTAATTTCTTACATATTTCTTTTTTCTTCCAATTTTGCATGTATATATCTGGTCATATGAACAACTAATTTGAAGACAACACTACGCAAAACAGTAAAAACCGAAATTCATATTACTTTGTTTAGTGAAATTCTGTATCATTTGTAATTTTCCTATTTTAGTACTATTTTGTATTCTCTTTAAAAAATAAAAATTAAAAAAGGAACTCAGTGTATGTAAGTACTATAAATATTGAATGTGTATGGTATGCTGACAACATTGAAACAAAAGAATGGGAAAGTTCTGAAATAAAAGATTGAATGTTTTAAAGATACTTATTGCTTAAAACAAGTTAAGTACTGCATTATAAAATGATTTTCTTTTCAGATTATGCTGTAGAGAATAGATCTCTAGTTTTCCAACTTCCCCTAAAATTTAAATCCTGGACTAAAGCTCTCTCCTCAGATTTAAGTTTTTTAGGTTCATATGACTGGAGTAATGAAACCTGATTGTTGTTTTTCATTTTAGGTGATATGTCAGTTGAAAGGGGGCACACAAGTGCTGTGTATAGACAATTCTGGCACAGGAGAACTAAAAGCACTTCATTTGGTTCCTCAGTATCAAGACCAAAATAATTGTCTACAGTCAGGTACAAAGTATATGAATGAAAGTTATGTGATATGTCCTGTGTAAGTTGGTAAGTGGATATGCTTGGCTTCATATAAAGGGTGAAAGTCAAAGAGACAGAATATTAAGTAGATGATTTGGTGCACCTCTTGGGCCACTGTAGTGACACACATTTAGCACAGTATCTAACAAAGTCCACCACTGCTTCTAAGAAGTAGTGGTTCCCACACACTCAGGCCACTGTAGACATTGAGCTGACTAGTATGTTTCATTACCAGACTTCTTGGCCTTCCTGCAATCTAATATCAGGGTCAACCCAGGGTAGTTTATGTTGGTCTGTGAAGTCTAGAGTGAAAATAGAAAATATGACTCCTTATTTCCATATTCCCTCCTTCTCTGGGGACAGGGAAATGTCTCCATGACATTTATTTTGTGGTAGAAGAGCTGGCTACACAGGAATCTCAAGCCTCAGTTCTCTGGTCCCTGTAGGTCACAGCTGCATCCATGATGCTGTCTGCATGCAGGGAGATGGGTTTTCCTATGGCAAAATCCTAACACCTTCGTATCGACAGAAAAGGTTTATGTAATATTTTCCAGTTCAACTTCCTTGACATGTGGTCGTGGCCCCTGCCTAGGCTCCTTGCATATATAAAATATGTTCCATACACATTAAACATCACCATAAAATAGCATATCCTGTGATCTAAGATTGTTGCTCACTCATTGGATAGAAGCTTGGAGAAGGAAGTGTGTTCAGTGTGCAGGGCAAGCACAGGCTGAAGAGGAGTACTGAAATGTCTCTCCACTTAGAATTCGGAGCACCAAGGTCTGCAGTCACCAGTGTTCAGGGTGTTCTTCACCATGCCCTAAGGCCAAAGAAGTGCCTTTCAGTGCCGCATGAGCACTTTGGTCCAAATAGTTTCGTGAGCGTTTACATCCTACAACTTATTAACCATTTGAAGAAGGCACGTAGTTCATGCAGTGTCCAACAGGTGTCACTGGTCTTTCATTGAAATTGTAACCTAGCCAGTGATGCTCTGGTGAATTTGCTGTGGCACCCATAATGTTTGCCACAGGTGGGGAACCTGGGTAGTAATAATGCTCTTTTACTATAGTTAGCTATCCCTTGGGGACTGAGGTCAAGTAACTTAATGACCAAAAAAAAAAAAGAAGGCTATAAGTTTTTTTTTTTTTTAAATACCCTGACTTAAAGGTTTTATAGAATAAAAACACAAATTAAATAACTGGACGTGATAAATCCAGAATATGTTTCGGTACTTTCTTCCATATACAAATGGAAGAAGAACAATATATGCTATTGGTTAATCTTAATTGTCTTCCTTACAGATGTCCCCAAACCACTGGCTACTTTAGTAGGAAGATTTTTGCCAGTTCCTGCAAAATTAAATCTCATTACACAACAAGTAAGTCATTGTTTTAATATAAAAATACAACTAGGCATTATTGTCTCTTGAAATTTCAGTTGAACTCAGAAATAGAATTTATCTTCCAGTCAAACATTTACCAAGTGTTGGATCCCTTCACCCCATGGCAGGCATGGGCAGGGTGAAGCAGAGGATGCGACTCCTTGCCAGTGCAGGAACCCACGTTGCCCTTTTCTGCAGCCTCCTGACCCTCACCTGTGCAAACTTTGTGTTTTGCAATCCCACCAAGCCTAAGGGCTGTGGACTTGCTTTTTATAAGCTGTTTTTATGATGACAGCAACATGCGCTTGCCCCAAGTCCTGCCATCCAGTGTTCCTCCCCACAAGAACCTTTTCTAATTCCCCAGCACAGTCACAGCACTGCCACTGTCCTCTGTTGTTCGATTTGCCTGTCTGTCTGCATCCAAACACAAGAATGCAGCTCCAAAGGAGCCTATATGCGTCCTTTATCTCTGTAAACTGAGGCCTGGCAAAGGGCCTGGCACTGTGGGAACCTGACTCACTTGCACCAGGAGGGGGGCTGGCCTGAGACATCAGCGAGCTCACAAACAAAACAAAACAGGTACCTAACTGCTCTCCTGCAGCTTACATTTTAGTCCAGGAGACAGGTGACAAACAAGCCTAGTAAGTAAATGATTGAGTGTGTCAGGAGAGCAGAGGAGGATGAGGAAAATAGGGGCTTAGAGGGAGAGGTAGCTTTTAAGTTTCAATAGGGTAGTCACAGCTCCATGGAGAGGGTGACCGCTGGGGAAGTCTTGGAAGAGATGAGTGAGCATGTGGGTACCACAGGAAGAACATTCCAGGGAGAGGGAACGGCACAGGCCTCAAGGAGGCTCATGCTTTATAAGGGGGCCAGTGGGGCTGGGATGGAGCAAGCCAGGGGAAGGAGTAGCAAGGAAGGCCAGGAAGGACTGTGGCTTCTGCTCTTCTTAGGAAGGGGCTGCAGGTTCATTGCCTCTACCCTGACCCTGCTGCTGCTGTAACCTCCGTGTAGGTTGGTGGTGGCTCAGACCCAGTAGCAGCAACAGAAGTGGCAAGGAGTGGATTCTCAGGACTTTGTGGGTTGAGTCAACAGGATTTGTTATGATTGGACCGGATGAGGAATATAAAGAGAGGAGTTGAGGATGGCGTAAGCTGGAGGCCCAGCTTCTTGCCACCTCCATGAAACCTTGGCCCCCGGCCTGCAGGAAATTTTCAGCCTGAATGAAAGGTGGAGTTTGCATCAGAGAGGCAGAGTGCCAGTGTTTCAGGGGATTCAAGGAGTTCTAGCTCTGCCTGACCTATCAGTGGGAGGTATCTCAGGCACCCCTACAGGTGTGCAGGAGGCTAGAGAGGCAGGACTGGGCGGGGGAATGAAGTGGGACTCACACGCTATGTGAATAGACGAGTCCAGGAGGCAGCAAGTGTGAACAGAGTGAAATGCTTGTTGAACGTACTTTTTTCTCAAGTTGGATGTTACCCAGGAGGAAAACTCATATGAAGGAATGCAAGAGACAAACAGGTCCAGGCCACAACTGGCGACAGCCACAGCCACTAAGGGAGTCTGCTGGTACTGGCTAGACACCTCCGTCTGCTGGCTTTGTCCACACCACCAGTTTCCTTCCTTCACTGTTGGAGCCGCCATCCAGGAAGGTGCCCTCATGCTTGCTCTTCTACCTCTAAGATCTAACTCGAGAGCGCCTGGCAAGCATGGCCTCTTCCTCCTCCTCCTCCCCCTCCTCCTACTCCTCCCCATCTCTCCTCGGCTGTGCGTGTTATTGTTCATCTTGGCTCCTTGACTTCTTACCCTGTGACGTCAGCAACGCATTAACACTGCATTTGCCACATCCCAACAATCCCTGGCTTCCCTGCCAGACCCCAAGTTCTGTCTGATTTTTAGGGCCTCTCCATTGAAAGCATGGTGCACAATGGGAAGCACCACTTTTCCTCAGAGTCTGCTAGAATTTTAGGATCTCAGGGCTCACCTGACACCCAGCTCTGATCTGGCCCGATCCAGATTATAGACATTCTGGGTCAGAACCTGCCTGTTACCCCCATGCCCCAGCCCCCGTGGTTTCCTCACGCAGGATTGGCTAGAAGCACCACTTTAGAGTTCAGTCTTCACTCCTGGGAATCGGACACTGCTGCAGGAACTCATCGCTTCTGGCGTACAGTTGTTCCACATTAATGACCTAGGCGGTACATAAGAGGCATCTCTGATTCCTGCCTTACTCTGAGTTGGTTTTTTTGGTGGAACTGGGAATTGAACTTAGGCCCTTGCGCTTGCCAAGCAAGTGCTTATTCTACTGAGCTATCTCCCCAGCCCCTATCTGAGGTTAAATAAGCAAAATGGGAGGGAAAGTAACTACCTGGTTTATCAAAGAATTGCCTTGGCCCTGAAAGCTGTGAAATTCCCTCTCCCAAAGGGATGCCAAGCCCTCGGGCTACTGTCCGGAGGTGGCAAGAGTGCCCGTGGCTCAAGCTGGACAGGTGCGGGACCCGGGGGAAGCCCTGTGGGCCTCATGATCCTGGTGGCTACCTAAGGTAGGTGGGTCAGGGCGGTTCCCAGGGCCTTCTAGCATTCACAGGTGCCCTGCAGAAAGCCTGGGAGACAGGAAGTGAAGAGGACGGATAGCAGGAGGTTTTCTGAGGCCACACCTCTCAAATAATTTTTATCTCCGGTTTTGAAAGGCAGACAAGGCTAGGATGTTTACCTGTGATTTATACAAAGCATTCCAAATCAAATCTCAGAAGGTTAGACTCGCGAAGGTTGGGCTCCCCATTCCTTTTCCTGCACCTGAGTGATAGAAGGGAAAATAACAGCCTGAGAAAGCAGAGGACATGGTCAGTGCAGACCTGGAGGCACTGCTTTGGAATGTGTAGTATATTTTTGAATAAATGAAAAATTGTGGGGGCTGGGGAGATGGCTCAGTAGAATAAGTGCTTCCCTGGCAAGCACAAGGGCCCGAATTCAATCCCCGGTTCTGAAGAAAAAAGAATAAATGAAAAATTGTTACTACTGCAAGACATCAAATGTCAAAATCTCTAAGAACAGGATTTTTTTTTTTTTCCGGGGGAGGGGTGGATGCTGGCTGAGGCTGCCTTAAGGGCAGGTCTGTTGTGGCATGTGGCATGTTGTGAGGATGGAACCGCAATCTCTTGACACTGACTGATTTTGCCCAAGCAGGCGCTTTAGAAAACTGAGCTAACTCGCCAACCTCCAAAATCTCTAAGAACATAATAAGATGCTTTTAGTTTAATTGTAATTGCTTTTATTTCACAATTGGTCATTCATTAAAAGGAAATAGTTCCATTACAGTATCTCTCCCCAGTCAGGTGACAACTGTGTGCCCTGCTTGCTGGCTTCTCACTGTGGCCCTGCAACCCCACTTCTATCTCTGTGTCCTGGGGTGCTGTGGCTGTGTTAAGTGGTTGCCACTGGATTAATTGCATTGACAACAATGTAAAAGAAATAGACCAGAACTTCTTGACATTATGTGAAACTGAGACTAAGCTAGAAATAGCAACAAGCTCTGAGGCCTGGACACAGCATGGGGACAGTAGGGTAGAAATTAAGGGTTGGTCCGGACAAACCTTTCCTCAAGACAGCCTTGACCTAGTGTGCTCAGGTGGTGATGGATTCTTCATAGTAATAAGGCCTGGACATGACTAAAAGAGATAGTGGTATGAACCTAGAACAGTGATGGCAAACCTTTTGGAGGGTTCAGTGACCCCAACAGTCCACAGCGGCACCCATATCCTACCTTTACCACCACTGACCTCAAGGAAAAATAATATTTATCAGTACATAGAGGCCAGCTGGCTGGAGCTTGTACTCATGCAAATCATTTTTCCTTTGACTTCGTACAGCCTGACAGTGGTGCCCTCCCCTCAGCAGCCAGCAACGGGCCTGCTTTCCCTTTGGAACCAACTCTTCCAGGACCACCGAAACTAACTTTGGCTGGGTAAGCATCCGAAGCAATACATTATCACTTCTCCTAGTGTCGGAGTTATAGGGGCTTCTGCGTACCTTTGGGATTTCCTTTTGCGCAGCAGAATGGACTTCGGAAAGCTTAGTTCTGACCTCACCAGAGCCGCGGGCAGCATGGCTGTGCATGTGTGGTTGGTGTTGCTGTAAAGGCTTGTCTTGAGCAGCCCCTGGTTTCCACTCCACTGTCCACTGTTCTGTGCCCAGGCCTCAGGCTTGTTGCCACTACTAGCTTGGTCTCAGTCTCTCATAGTTTCAACATGTGCTGGTCGATTTCTTTTTTGTTGCAATCATTGCAAGTAACCCAGTGGCAGCCACTTACCACAAGTGGTGACTGCAGAGCTGCCTCTGCCCACTGCCTTCCATGCTAAGCCAGCACCAGCTGCATGCAGGGTCCCGGTGAGTCTCTATTCATGTCTCTGATGGATGCAGGCTGCTCTGAGCCGGGACCTTGTCTTGCTGTTTTAAAGTGGTGATGATGATTGTAACTAATTCAACTAACAAGGCTGGTTGAAAAGCTTTGTCAAGTTCACATGCATGTGCTGACTGTGGTCTGGGCCATTGTTTTTCCTGAGTCCTGAACTGAATCAGTGAGATCAGTCTGTTCCTGTCTCTAAGGGTGTCATGGCTGAGTCTATGTAGTCATGAATCTGAGGCCTGGAGGACACCAACCCCTTGTGAAAGGCAAACTGGCTGCTCTGATGCTGGCCAGCTCTGCTCATGAACACATGACCTTGGTAAGCTTTAAGAGAGCTGTCTGAGGCTAAGAATGAAAGGCTATTGAGTGAAGCCCTAGATGGGCCCTGAAGACAGACACGTCCAGCCCACCCTTAGGGCTCTCCCTTGGCACCAGGAGGTGACTGTGCTCAGGGCCCGCTGACTTCAGCTGATGGCCTCCAGTGATTGTGATGGCCAGGAACTATGTCAGTGGCCAGGAAGCCACGTCCTTGCCTCACTCTCTGGTATGATTGATCATGAGGACACATGATCAGTATTGTCATTGGTCATCTCGTCATTAACATTTTTGGATGAAACCAAAACATCTTAACCTTCTAGATTCTGCTGATAGCTTTGCATCTTCAGTTGCGTAGCGTGATGTGAGATTCCATGAACCTCGAGATGTGCCCAGTGACTCTGCTGTGCTCTGGGTGCATCTGGCCAAGGATACTGTGCTGCTCTGTGCTCTGCCATGCCTAGAACAGGGTGGGCTCGCTCAGTGCACAGCCATCTGAGGCCTCACTGTGGTGCGGCAAGTGTGCATTTTTGCAGGAACAGCTTTCTCTCCGGCACATTTTCCTTTTCGCCCTCCTCTTGTCCTCCATTTTCTTTCCCCTTCCTTTCTTTCCCCCTCCCACTTCTCCTCTTCCTCCTCTTCAGTCTGTATTAGATTTTTCCAATCACAAATTTTTCTTTATTTTGAAGTAATTATGCAAGATATAAAAGCTTTTCTCATTATAAGTGACGTGTCAGGAGCACCGTGAGCTTGGTTTGTATTTGCGGCAAATAATTACTTGATTCACCATCACTGTCCTGAATCAGCCCTGATGATTTTTCTCTGAACACCCACAGCGCTGACGCTGTTCTGGACTCAGCCAGTTTACCACTGACAGTAAGGGAGCACTGAGAGAACTGTCGGCTGGTGGGGTTTTTCTGTATGCTCCCAACCACCAATTTACTACATTTGTCACCCTGTTTACGTCTTGTTAGCCTTCCTGTGATTCCACAAGATGATGAGGTCAGCAAGGTCCAAAGGGGTCAGAAAAGAAACTGTCACCCAACATGGCTCCAACCTGCTTCACCCAGCAAGAGATATAGAAGTCTTGAGGTCAAATGCATGAGTTACCCAGCCATCATTCTTAGAGCTGCATACTGAACTGGCTAACTTACTAATCTTAAGTTAGCATAATACTAAAAACTCTAAGAAAAAGTCCTGTCCTAGATTGGCTTCCACAATGTTCTGCAGTTCTTGTGCAGGAGAATTTTCTGCTTCTGTATATTGGCCCTTTTTATTCTGATAGCAATGACAAAGATAATTTTTCTACTAATTTGGCCAGTATAAAAAGCTGGCAATGGGGCCAGGGAGATGGCTCAGTGGAATAAGCGCTTCCCTGGCAAGCACAAGGGTCTGAGTTCAATCCCCGGTTCTACCAAAAAAAAAAAAGCTGGCAAAAATAGCCTACTATTAATTACTATATAATTTTAATAATCTGATCCTCATTCAGCTCATAAATGTGAATCCCAACACATGATTGATACTTTCATTTTTGGTAAATACTGAATTTCACCATTAAGAATTTCCAGAGCGTACATCTCTGAAATTTTTCTTAAAGGTGAGGCGCCATCTCTGTGCGGGAGGTCATCATAACGCTTTTCTGAGGCAGTGCTACCTAGATCTTTATAACCTCCTAACTTTTAGGTTGGCCCCTGAGATGGTCAAGTGGAGGTCTTTCTCCTGTCGCGGCCATCACAGTGGGCAAGTGCCTTCCTGTGCCCTGTGTACCACATGCTCATGGCTAACACGGCATCTGCTCGTGCTGCTCTTTCACATGAAGCATCTTTCAACCTATAATAAAGAAACTTTGCAACCTAAAACATAATTGGTTCTATTTTCTTCAGTAGTAGTTTAATTTTTTCCATCTATATTAAATTATCTTGGGCCTGAATATTTGTAGCATTTATAATTAGTATAAAACAATTTCCCATCATACTATGTTATGCTCTCTAAATTTTCAGTTGTCCGTCTCATGTCTCCAGCTATTTCGTGGATTCTTCCATGGTAGACACTGTAAATTTAAAAGATACTTATTTCTGACATCTTTTGAAGCATTCGCCTCATCTTGACCGTGTGATAGGCTCTTAGTCCAAGCATGCTGGCTGGTCTTGCCACTGCAAATACTCATTGAACTCTTACTGTCTCAATATTTTAGGACTTTAGCCAAAAGACAACTAACCAGGAAACTTTGAGAATGTGGGGCTCAGACATGGGGGATGGAACAAAAGGATTGGCTCCCTGTGGGAATACAAGCTTGAATTATAACTGCATAGCAAACAGCACAGCTTTCATCCTGGTTATGTGCTATTCTAGATGCTTAAGAAATTTAGGCTGGACCTGGTGGTGCATACCTGTAAATCCAGCACTACAGAGGCTGAGGCAAGAGGTTAAGATGAGTTCAAGGCCAGCCTGGGCCACGTAATATGTCCAAGGTCAGCCTGAACTACATAGTGAGACCCTACCGCCAAGGTAGGAAGGAAGGAAAGGAAGGAGAGAGAAAAGAAGAAAAGAAAAGAGAGAGAGAGGAATAGAATGGAATTTAGGAATCAGTGTGCCCTTGGCCAGGGCACACAGAGACAAAAGCTGCATGCCTAATCTCCAGGAGTTCATTGCCTAATGTAGTAGGTGCTCATCTGTCAGGCCCTCCTCGTACTATAGTTGTCCCCATGTCCCTCCTTTCACTGTTACTAGTCCCACTTCTGGCATCACTGATTTGTTGTGAGTGCCACAGGGCCCACATTCAACACCTGAATCACCTGAGGAGTCTTTCCTTTTACTCTCAAGATAGCTGCGAGGCAAATCACACAGACAATTGGGAGGCAGTTGTAATAATCCCTTCCCAAAGTGAAGGAGATCCCCGAAGACCACATGAGCCACCTGAAACATACTTCAATATTGTTGGTAACATTACAGTTGGGCTGCTTTACCAGTGGCATACTGTATAGACAATGATTTATCCTTCATACGTATGTCCCATTAGCATTCAGATGGGGCATTTGGTGGGGAAGAGCACAGAGAGTAGAAAGAGAGCAGACATTTAAACAGGGTAGAGAAAAACCCCAAGAAACTTTCTGGAAGTGTATAGAGCTTCCAGAAAGAAAGGCTCCCCTTGCCTGCCCTGTGGATCGCCAGCTATGCATTGGTGGGTCGGGCAAGGCCAGTCACAACATGTATGAACTGTGCTGCCACCCCCAGTACATGCCTAGGCACCTAGAAATAATACCTGTCAATGTCTGGTGTTGGATTTTCAATGTTTGTTCAAGACACCAGCTGCTTAGCTAATTTTCTTTTTCCAGAGTAACCATCTGAATACATTTTCTTTTTTAATCTTTATAGAGTAACTCTTAGTTCATGGGACCCAAAGTCTAAAAAGCCATGTAACTGTACCAAATCCCAGTGTCTGAAATTGTAAGTAACCACAAATCCTTCATTATTAAATATGAAATAAGGTTTCTTAGAAGTCAGTAAGAGGAGCACAGTGTAGACAAAGCAGACCAGCTTGGTGGTGTGCATGCTGCAGTTAGTTCTCAATGGCCGCATCTTGACACTCACTGTGAACCAGAGCGAGCAAGAGCCACGCTTTTGGCATGAACCTGGCTTAGCTCGTGCATTATCTTGGCCTATTAACTTTTTAAAAGGCCCTTCTCACACATCAAGGGGTGCAATTTTTTTGATGTTGGTTTACGTTCTCTAAATCCAGTCCCTCTGGCAGTGCTGAATGTGTCATCACTGTTGAGGATTAACTGTAACATTTCCACCCTGTTTTCTGAAGTCTGATGAATTGGTTTACAGTCAGCTTTCCCATTGCTGGGACGCAGTACCTGACACCCACAGCTTAGAGGAGGAGGAGGGGATTCAGGGCGCGGTTGGCTGGCTCCGAAGCAGAAGCCTCGTGGCAGAAGCATGTGGTGAAGCAACACTGGGTTCATGGTAGCTAGAAAGTAGGCCAGGGAAACAGTGCCAGAGGAGAAGGAAGGGACAAGGGACTGAACAGAGAACCCCAAATCATGCCTCTGACTGACCTTAACATACCCAGAAATGTTCCACCAACAAAACCCAATCAAGTTGACACTCCACCCTAACTACCTCAACCCATCCCTGGTCAATTTCAAATCCAAACATGTTTTCTTAAACTCTTAATCTCTAAATAAAGACAACAGCAGGCACATAATTCTACTTACCATAATTCAGCTATCCTATACAGA